TGCCTACAACCATCTTCCAGGTCAACTTTGACCTGCAAATTCATGCTATTGTTTTATTTTTAGTTTTCACTATTTCTAAAGCAGGGACCCACGCTAGCTGTCAATTGGTGTTTCCGGCCCTTGTAAACTACTACGTGTATTCTCTTATTTATTGTTCATGACCAATCCCTCCTCCAGTAGAAGCTCTATGAAGGTCTCATGGTTTGTAGTGGAGCCTATCCCCCCCGCCCGAAGAAGAGAGCGAGTTTAGCAAGAGGTTATTTTTCAGGGGCCAGTCAATATTTTAGGCTTTGTTTGTGTCATGTGGTATCTGTTCCACTACTGGGCTTTCCATTACTCTGAGTAGGTGGCTGTGTTCCAATAAAACTTTATTTAAACAAATAGGCAGAACGTGACCACAGGTCACAGATGGCCAATTTTTAAACTAGTTGAAAGTACTGGATACATGAAATAAAATAAAAATAAAAATTGAGTTCCCATAATTTTCATCCGCCATATTTATTTATTTAGTTATGTGTCAGGGTCGTCTGTGTTGTCCAGGCTGGCCTGGGATGCACAGCTAACCTCCTGCCTCAGCCTCCGGAGTGCTAGGAAGATACTGTTTCGTTACTAAAATAAAATCTAAAAACAGTTCTCAGCATGTAGGCCATAAAGGGGCGGTGCTGGGCCAGAGTTTGCTGATCCTCAAGTCGAACTGTGTCTACAAGTCGAATATTCTGGGAGTGCCCAAAACGCTCCACATCCTGAGAAGCTGATACTTGCCCTGCACTCGCTCCAAAGGGTGCCGGCCGGCGCGCGCCTCCTCATTGCCAACCCTCCGAGCCTCGCGCGCCTCTCGCCAGGCCCCGCCCACCTCCGTGGCGATTGGTCGGGCCTTGCCCTCTTCCTCGTTGGGGAACGCCCCCTATGATGGGCACCTCGTAAGACCAATGGAACGCCTCGGAGCCTCGAGACCCGCCTTCCTCGCGCCCGTTGAAGGCGGGCCGTTGGAGGGGGTAGGGCGTGGACTTGGTAACCGTTGCCGGGAACAACGCCCCGCCCCGTCTTGGCCGGCGGGCGGGAGGGCGGGCGGCGGCGGGAGCCGGCGAGGAGCGGCGGGGCCGCGGCGCCGCCATAGAGACTGTAGCCGTGGAGACTGTTACTTACCAACGCCGACCAGCACGCAGCGCCGCCGCCGCGGGAGCCGCCGCGAACTCCCGGCCGAACTCCAGGTGACCGATGAGACCGCCCGGGGTCGGGGTGGCGGGGTCCGCGGGGCTGGGGTGGGTTGCGTACCTCGCCGAGTGCCCCGAAGTCGGGACTCGGCGTCCCGCACTCGCGCCGGAGTTTGGGGGCCCTGGCGACACCTCCCTCTCCTCGTCCCGCGTTCGGAGACTGGGGGACACAGTGCCTCACTTGTGAGAAAACTTTCTGGAGTTGGGGAGCCGGGGACCCCAGGTCTTCAGGCTCCTGGAATAGAGACCTCGGGTGGTTTTTCACTTCCTGGATCCTTGATTTGGGGGCGCCCAGCGATACGCCTCTTATTTGCCTCATCGCTTCCTGAATGAGGAGCTCCCAGGGACCGATCTCTCGCTTTTACCCCCAAATTCCCGGACTGAGGACTCCCGCGGACTATTTTCACTTTAATCCCGCAAAGCGCTATTGGGGGCTGCCTGGGCCTCCTTCTTACTCTCATCCTAAATCTCCGGAGTTGGGGCCACTGAGCCCCAGCTTCTCCCTCTTACTCCCCAAATTCCTGACTCGGATGAGCTCTTTTAATGTTCCAAATCTCCGAAATCAGGGCTCCCGGGACCTTTCAGTCTCAGACTCTTAGGAATTAGGAACCTATCAGTGGCCCCTTCAGTTCACCCCAAATTCTTGTGTGCGAGGTGTCCCCGGGGACGGACCCCTTCTTCCCTTTTGCCCCCGACACTGAATTGTGGGCGCCCTTTCACTCTTTGACCGAAACGTCGGTGCATTTCTCCTGGGGAGACCCTCTTCCCTCCTCACCTTTTCGCCCCAAACTTGTGGACCACGGGCCTTCCCAGAGGGTCAGTTTCTTACCTTTCACCCCCTTCCCGCACCTGCCTCCCATGCCCGGTTTGGGGGGGTCCCGGCTCCCCCAGTCCTGCGCGCGCCACCCTAGAAAGTCTCTGCGCACCTAGCTCCCCCTGTCGGGACCGAGCGGGGAGCGAGCGAGCAAAGTTTCACCAAAGGTTTCTTTAAATCGGTTTTTTTTTATTTATTTTTATTTTTTTTTTACCTGCACTTCGCTCGCTTGGCGACGGAGCCCCACGCTGTGGGCGCGCTGTCTCCCCCCAAGAGCGACCCCAGCCCAGCCCAGCCCAGCCCAGCCCAGCCCCCTCGCTCCTCTCCTTTCCCTGCTGCCTGCCCCGAGCTGACCGCGGCCCCGGTTGCTCCCGCTGCTCCACAAGGCAAGTTGGGTTCCCGATCCCTCGGCTATTTCCAGGGCCCCCGGGGCCCAGCTGCCCCGGCCACGCGGGTGGCGGCGGGGCGGGGGTGTCTCCTTCCTATTTTAACCTCCTGGTCGCGCCCGAGCAGGGAAGGGACGGGCAGGAGGCCTCTGCTTTCCCCTCCCGGCCAGCTCCTTCCAGCTTTGGGGGCGTTTTTGATACCACGCTCCCTGACTGGCCTGGTGCGGTAAAAGGTCGATTTGATGAGGTTTCTCCCTTCTGGTGGTCTGGCCTGTGCAGAGCCGAAGTTTTCAGTGTTCGCAGATTTATTCTGTTTCGGCAAGCACTTTTGCGTTATGACAACAATGCACTAACAGGCCAGGCATGGTGGTGCACACTGTCATCCTAGCGCTCTAGGGAGGCAGAGGCAGGAGGATTCCGAGCTCAAGCCCTGCCCCTGCAACTTAACAATTTGTCTAGACCTTGTGTCAGAATAAAAACCAGCTGTGCTTATGAAGACCCCTGGACTGCAGCCTCAGTAAAACAACAACAATAAATAATAATAATAATAAATAAATAACAATAATAATGCATGTACCCTGTAACTACATACAATGAATGTGCCCAATAAAATTTTTGTAAAAAGTAAATGTGAAAGAGGAAAACCTCAACAAGAAAACCTTTTTTCCTACACGTATGGTCAGCGGGCTCTTCTCTATGTGTTCATGCTTCTTCGATCTTTTCCTTCCTCGGAGCAGTATTTATTTATCCCTGTGCCAGGCGTGGCCCTTGCCCTGGTGGGTGGCCAGACTTGAGCGGCCTTAAAACAGTCTTGGGAATGGCCACTTACCTACACTGGTGGGAAGCGAGGGCTGTGGTCAGAGCCCCAAGGATGTGAATTTCATGTCTTTCATCCTGGTGCCCTGGCTTTGCCAAACTGAGTGGGATTTAGGAGCTGGCAAAGCTGCTGTGTTCGGGAATCCCTTATGCTGTGGCAGGTTTGGATTTTGAGTGAGCTAAGAAATAGTTCGTGCCTGGAAAACAACAACAACAAAAAACCCAAATGATTTTACTCTTGAGTTGTGTCCCTGTAAAGCAGGATCTGAGAGGAGAGCACAAGCCCGGGAGCCGGGGTTGCTTGCCTCTGGGTGAGGGCCCCACCACCTAACCTTGGCTGTGTGTGGATGTCCTTGTTTTCATCTGCTAGCAGCGTTGGGCGTTGCGGGCTGGTGCACCGGACCACACAGCAGAAGTGCGCATGTTGGCAACTGCTTATCTGGGCCTCTGCTACAACCTTAAGCTTCATCTTCAAGTTTAATCAGTAATAATATTCAGTTACTTTGATTTTAAGTAACTTTAATATCGTCGAGTCAAACATTTGAATTAGTTGTGAATTTTACAGTAATTGATGATTGCTTTGCTGATAAAATTCTAGGGCTGGGAGGATATTATATTTGTTTGTTTCCTTTTTTTTTGAGACAGTGCCTTGCTCTGCAGCTCAGGCTGGCCTGGAGTTCACTCTGTAGCCCAGGCTGGTCTGGACCTTGCAGTGATCCTCCTGCCTCAGGCTGTCTTGCGCTGGGACTACAGACCTACGCCACCATGCCCAGGTGTTTCTTTTTTTAATTAAGTAAAGGTTGCCTGCTTATTTAGGAGGTGGAGTTTTGTGTTTTGTTCTGTTTTGCTGGTGGTGGTGGTGGTGGTACTCTGGGTAGACCCCATGGCATAGTGTATGCTAGGCAGGTGTTCACCCTGAGCTACGTACTTAGCCCAGCTACTTAAAAATGCCTGCCCATACCTACATTTGTTGTAAATTACGAAAGTTTGGATGTGGGGGCGGGACTAGGGATGGAACCTAGGGCCTTTGCACTGTTATATCCCCAGCCTTTTTTAATTTTTGAGAGTCTTACCAAGCTACTAAGTTGTCTGGGCTGGCTTGAACTTTTGATCCTCCTGCATCAGCCTCCCTGGGTACTAGGAATGAAGTGTGTACTACTCCCCCCCATTATGGCCTGTGCCTAGATGTCCCCCCAGGCCCCATACAGTCATAGGTGAGGCTTCTTCCTAGGTGGCTGAATCTATGATGTGTGATTGATTCATGGTGCAAAGCTGGGATTAAGAGTGGGTATTTATTAAATCAGTTCACTGATTGGTTTGGCACCACCCTAATCCCAGTAGCCTGGATAAGATATAAGGGACAGAAAGAGGCTTGTCTTGTCCTTTGGCCTGCTTTCTTTGCTGCCTCCTGCCCACTATGAGCTGTTTCTCCTCTCTGATGCCCCTCTGCCATGTGCCACCATGCCTTGGAGCCAGCCAATTACGGGCTGAAACCTCTACAAACTGTGATCTAAGTCAACCTTTCCTCCTTTGATGTTGGGTTTTGGGTATTTTGCCTCAGCAATGAGAGAAGAGGAATTAAGACCGCACCCAAGTATGAAACTTTCTAAGAAGCAAAGGGAAGTCCTAAGCAATGCCACCCCACTTGTGAAAACCCTCAGCAAGCTGGAGGGGCTGAGAGTACAAGTCCGCATACCATCTTGATGTTCCACATATAGGGAATTCCAAGTAGTCATGTCCATCTATATTTCTGCTCCAGATCATGTAAATATTCTCATTAGTAAGCAATCTCAGATCTGTTCAGATCAGGTTTTGGTGCCAAATGAATCTGTAGCAGATTTTTAAAAATTCCAGTGTCTGTTGGATTTTAATATTGTTATGAGGAATTGCAGGTTTGTGTGATGTTTAAAGTGGTATTTGATTCCCTGGAATTCTGCAGTACAATGGGCTCCCCTGTAGACTGTGTGCTCTTAGACACATGCCTGGCATAATATATGTGCTTACTCAGTTGGACAGGTGGCTGGATGGGTGGATGGATGGATTGGTGGGCAGGTGGATGAGTGGGGTGGGTAGGTGGGTGGGTGGATGGATGGCTGGCTGGCTGGCTGGCTGGATGATGGGTGGGTGGGTTGATGGATGAGTGAGGTGGGTGGGTGGATGGATGGATGGATAAATGGATAAATGGATGGGTGGATGGATGAGTGAGGTGGGTAGGTGGGTGCATGGATGGGTGGGTGGATGAATGGGTAGGTAGGTGGATGGGTGGGTTGGGTGGGTGGGTGGATGGGTGGGTGAGTGGATAGATGAGTGAGGTGGGTGGGTGGATGGATGGATCGGTGGATGGTTTGATGGATGCCTGGGTGGATGAATGAATAGATGGATGATATGTATGTTTGGACTTAGGCTAGAAACTAAAAACTACTTGTGTGCCTTTTGCAAACCCAGAGATCAACAAAATAACTCTTATAGGAAAAAAATAGAGGGCGACCTTTACAAGAGGAGAAGCATCTGAGTCAGAAGAGCCAGGCAGACCCACCCCACTCCCTGTAGTAAATATCCACTTGCTTGGCTGGGTTACCCAGGCCAAAATCTTGGAGTTGGCTTTGACCTCTCACTTTTTTCTAAGCCATCAGCAAATCTTGTCACCCTTGTGTTACCACAGCTCACTACCTCCACTGCCAGCCCCCTGGTCCAAGCTGTCATTATCCTCAGTGATTTGGTAGTGGCTTGTGTCACTCCATCCTCCCAGTAGCTGGCTGGTGGCTGTTCATTGGGATGCTATTAATTCCCAGTCCAGACCTTCCCTTGGCTGCCTGCTGCTGGCCTTGAAAGTCCTGGGCCCCCCAACTTGCAGTCTTTGCCCAGACTTTTGGGGGCCCCTCACCCTCCCTTTAGGCCTTTTCTCCAGTGTCACCAGGTCACCTGCTGGGAAAGAAGGCCCTGAGCCTCCTTCCTGGCGTCTTTTGTCTCCTCAGTGTTCA